TCTCCACAGGAGTTGCACGAGTGGTTTACCCGGCGCTGGAGGCGTGCTGCTGGAGTTGGAGGCTCTTCGGCTACTGAGGGTGCTGGTGTCGTGGGTCCCGGAGGTGCTCGTACTGGGAGTACTGGAGCTGCTGGGCCTGCGGGTACGACTGGAGCTGGAGCTACTGAGGGTGTTGGCACTGAGGCTACTTCTGGCGGTCCTACTGGGGGTGCCACTGGTGTTGCTAGAGGTCCTGGAGCTACTTGAGCTGCTGAGGGTCCTGGAGTTGGCGGTGCTGCTTGCGCTGGTGCTCCCACTGGGGGTAATGGTGCTGTCCCTGCTGTGTCGGGAGTCGCCGCGCGGCCTCGGCCGTACTTCGTTCCGCTACTTCAGCAGGTTCTTGGTCTTCCGCCTTCTACTAGTCCTCCTCCTCCCTTAGAGTGTCCACAGCCTGTCCTGTCACAGCTACAGTTACAGCCAGCCTCCCCACTGCCTACTCCTTCTCTCTACACTGGTCCTACTGGAGGTCTTGCTGAGCGTTGTGAGCCTGCGTCTCGCCCTGCGTCGCCTGTCCATCCTGCTTGCACTAGTAGTCGTGGTTCGCGTCAGCGTCCTCTTCCTGTCCCTGGCACGCACCGGATGTCTCTGCGTCCTTCCACTGCTCCTCTGCGTGCCCCTTTGCCTTCTCCTCCTGAGTCCTCTCTTCCTGCTCTTCCCAACCCGGAGTCGGACTCTCTTCGTGCTACAAGTCCCACTGTACCGCGTCTCCTTGCTACTGTCGTCACTGACCCTTCCTTTGAGTCCACTGCTGCGTCTGCCCTAGTTGCTGAGCTCATCGACTTTGCTGCTCGCTGTCGCCTAGACTACGCTGGTAGTCTTGTCGCTGAGTCTGAGTCTGTCTGTCCTCCGTCCGTCGGGGGTGAGTGTGCCCTTGGCACGGACGTCCTTGAGGACAGACAGGCGGAGTTCCAGTGTCTGGCTGCTGCTTCACCTCATCTCGTGTCCGTACAGCTTACCCCTGAGGGAGACCCGGATGCATTTGACATCCCGACTCCGCGCTCTTACGCGGAGGCGATAGAGGGTCCCTACTCCTCTCAGTGGCAGGCAGCTATGGACACCGAGATGGCTTCCTGGAAGTCCACAATCACCTACGTTGACGAGGTTCCCCCGCCTGGGGCGAACATCGTCAGTGGCATGTGGATTTTCAGGGTGAAGCGGTCGCCGGGTCCTCCGCCTGTCTTCAAGGCGCGTTACGTGGCTCGTGGCTTCAGTCAGCGGCAAGGAGTTGACTTTTTTCAGACCTTCTCTCCCACCCCGAAGATGACCACTTTTTGGGTACTGCTGCACGTAGCTGCTCACCGTGACTACGAGCTGCACTCTCTTGACTTCAGCACTGCTTTCTTGCAGGGCAGCCTGCACGAGGAGATCTGGCTGCGCCGCCCACCTGGCTTCACTGGTTCTTTTCCTCCTGGCACCCAGTGGAGCCTCCGACGGCCAGTCTACGGTCTCCGCCAGGCACCGCGTGAGTGGCAGGACACACTAAGGACTACACTTGCGGCTCTTGGGTTTGCTCCTTCTACTGCCGACCCGTCGCTGTTTCTGCGCACCGACACCTCTCTGCCGCCGTTCTACATCCTCGTGTACGTCGACGACTTGGTCTTTGCCATAGCTGACACTGCTGGACTCGCCTACGTGAAGTCCGAGCTGCAGAAGAGACACACGTGCACTGACCTGGGTGAACTGCGCAGCTACCTTGGCTTGCAGATCACCCGGGACAGAGCACGCCGCACCATTACCCTGACTTAGTCACACATGGTGCAGCAGGTCCTTCAGCGCTTCGGCTTCACGTACTCCTCGCCTCAGGCCACTCCTCTGCCTACTCGCCACTCACTCTCAGCTCTGCCTTCGGATGAGTCCGTAGAGTCGAGTGGCCCGTATCCAGAGCTTGTTGGTTGCCTCATGTACGTGATGACCTGCACACGACCTGACCTTGCATACCCTCTTAGCATTCTCGAACGCTATGTTGCTCCTGAGAGACACAGACCGGAGCACATGGCTGGAGCGAAGAGGGTGTTGCGTTACCTGTGCAGTACGTCAGGCATGGGGCTTGTGCTTGGAGGGCGTAGTCCAGTGGTCCTCACTGGGCACGCAGACGCTTCTTGGGCTGACGACCAGGCTACGCAGCGGTCGTCATAGGGTTACACCTTCAGCCTTGTTTCCGGCTCTGTTTCGTGGCGGGCTACCCGCTCGTCTTCTGTTCTCGGCTCCAGTTGTGAGGCTGAGATCTACGCAGGAGCCATGGCTGCACAGGAGCTTCGCTGGCTCACCTACCTGCTGATTGACCTTGGAGAGCCGCCTCGTTCTCCTCCAGTTCTGTACGTAGACAACAAGGTCATGCTGCCCTTGTGTCGAGAGCAGAGACCGGAGCACAGAACAAAGCACATTGCTCTCCGCTACTTCCTTGCTCGTGAGCTACAGCAGCGTGGTCAGCTGCGACTTGCGTACGTCGCCTCTGAGGCCAACACTGGTGATATCTTCACCAAGGCACTTGCGCCTTGTGATCAGAAGCGCTTCTGTACTCAGCTGGGTCTTGTGCCTGTCTTTCCTCACTTGCTCACCTCTTGACCTTGCTTGTACTGTTACATATATATATGTCCCTGCTCTTGCTTGTCTAGCCTTTTATATATATGTACTCCTGCATGTGAACTGACCTTGTGGCCTTGAACTTATGCTCGGAATGTGTGGTGACTTTGTGATTTGCCCTGAGCTTGCTTTGCTTTGCTTTGCTTGACTGGCCTTGTTCTCCCCCACTTTGCCTATGGGGGTGTGTTAGGACATTATAGCTTATGCATTTGTGTAGGCTGTAGTGGGGTAGCCCATAAGGGGTACAACCCAATTAGGGTTAGTACTTGTACCCAACTGTTTCATAGTCCATTCATTCTCGTTCTCACTTTCACAAGGGCGATGTGTTTCATCCTGTTCGTGAAGCCGTTCTTGTTGGCTATGCGAATGGCCAACTGGTTGTCGCAGAACAGGGTAATGTTTGGTAACTGGGCTAGCTTGGCTTCCTCCAGGAGTTCGCGAAGGTACAATCCTTCCTTGGTGGCTGAGCAGAGTGCGATATATTCTGCTTCAGCTGAAGAGAGGGCGATTAACCCCTGCTTGCTCGACTGCCAGGAGATAGGTCCGATAGGCTCGAGGCGATAGATGTAGCCAGTGCGCGAGCGTCTGTTGTCGGAGTCGCCGGCGTGATCGGCGTCAACGGAGCCGATTAGTTTAGGCGCTGTGGTCCCGTTCTTGTGATAGGTCAGGCCGATCGTCGGAGTGCTGATGAGGTAGTGAGAGCGCAGTCGAGCTCCGCCAGATGTTCCGCTTCAGGTTTCTTGAGGTGGGTGGCGAGCTGGCTTGCAGAGTACGATAGGTCCGGGCGGCAGGTGACAGCTGCGAAGAGGAGGCATCCCAGCTTCCTCTGGTAGTCGCGTATGTTGGCGGGCTTGAGTAGAGCGGAGCCTTCCTTGTGGTTTCCTGCCGTGTAGCGGTATGGCGTGGAGATGGTAGTTGGTGTGAGAGCGAAGCGTTTGGCGATGGTGTCGGCGTACTTTGCAGCGCTAAGGTAGATCGCGTCCTCCTCTTCCCGTATGTTGAGGCCGAGGTATTGCGTGACAGTCGATGATATTGTGAGAGTGAGATCCTGTTGCAGCTCCCCTTCAAACCAGGTAGTGACGCTGTCGGTTGAGCCAATGTAGAGCAAATCGTCTACGTAGACGATTAGCGGGATGTAGTCAGTTCATTTCGTGAGCCGGTACATGCCTTGGTTGTGAGGTAGTTGGCGGAATCCGATGCGAGTGAGTCTTGCGTGTAGGTACTCCTGCCACAGCCTTGGAGCTTGTTTGATACCGTAGATTGACTTCAGCAGTTCGCAGACTTGATTAGGCTCTCCGTTGGAGCCGTGCGGTAGCTCGACGAAGATTTCTACATCGACGGGTGCGTAGAGGAAGGCGTTGGCGACGTCAATTTGCCGCAGCTTCTTTTTCTTCATGGCGGCGATCGCGAGAAGAATTCGCAACGAGGTGTGTCGGCTGACTAGAGCAAATGTCTCAGTGAAATCGCGTCCATGTTCTTGGTTGAAGCCGCGTACGACCCAGCGTGCTCTGAGCTTGTCGATGGTGCCGTCAGCCTTTGTCTTCACGCGGAAGACCCACTTTCCGGTGAGAATCGTCTTGTTCCATGCTACGCCGATAGGAACGACCTTCCAGGTGTTGCGTTCCTCCAGTGATTTCAGCTCCTTGTCCATGGCTTCGCGCCATTTTTCCTTATGCTCCCCCCCCAGAGCCTGCTGAACTGTCGTAGGCTCCTTATGAATGGGAATGCCGTGAACCGCGGTGACCAGGCCAAGTATTTGGGGGCCACTTTGTGTGTAGCGGGGAAGTGATGTGTCCTCGGGATAAACTGCTTCGTCTCCCGCTTCTGGTGTAGGGTTGAAGTTTGGTCCTACACGTTCTGCTTCGTTGGTGTTGACTTGTGCAGGGGTAATGTAACCGTTGTCGGCGAAGTGGTAATAGGCTTTGGCGTTGAAGCTTTCGCGTGGATTTTCGTCATCCATTGGCACGTCGACGGAGCAGTACGGGAGGGGTCCGACTTCTTCCGAGGCTCCTTCCACGTTCTGCTCGTCCCAATCAGCTTCACCTTCTGCCGAAGCAAAGGCTCGGGCCACATTCTTCCAGCTGGCCATATGCCTCCAGCTGGCCACATGCCTCCAGCTGGCCACATGCCTCCAGCTGACCACATGCCTCCACCTCTCCTGCCATCTCTCCCACAACACCCTGCAAGCAGGGTGCAAAAAGGGGTAAGTCCCGCCATGCGCCTGCCACCAGCCCCCACCAGCCATGCTCATCCCACCAGCCATGCTCATCCCACCAGCCATGCTCATCCCACCCGCACCACCCTCCCTCCACATCCCAAGGCAATGCCTCTGGATCTGCCGCCTTGCTATTGCTAATGCTACCAAACCTGTTGCTTCATCACCATGAACCTCTTCCCTTGGGTTCTGCGCTGTGTGGCTTCGGAATGCCACTGTTTGCAGGGTAGCATGGCTTGGGAATGAGAGTGGCGGCCACTGCTGCTGCTGGAGCAGCCGGTTTATGAGTGATGTGAGGCGCAGCCTGCACTGCCTTAGCCGCTGCAGCCGTGTGCTCTGCCCTGCTCTGCCCAGGCTTAGGGATTAGAGTCGCACCACCGCCACCACGCCCTAAACCCGACCCCACACCTGCTGCATGCCCTCCTGCTGCCTCCACCCCTCGCAACGCCGCCTTCCCTACTGCTCCACGCACCGCCGTGTGTGCTGCCCTCCCATTGCCCTGCTCCCTCGCCTTCTCTCCTGCCACTTTTGTTGCCACTGACCCCACTGGGCTGCTGTTAACAACAACACTGCTTGTAGCTGCAGGCGTCACACGAGTGACCTTGGCTGGAGTGCCTTTAGCTGCAGCAGCTGCAGGCTTGGTAGGAACGCTTCTAGCAGCAGCAGCCTTGGCTGGTGCAGCTGCAGATGCACGCATTCCTTTAGCTGCTAAATCTGCGGCCTTAACAGCAACACTCTTCATGGCAAGGGTCTTCACGGAAGCAGTCTTAACAGCAGCGTTGCTGACAGCAGCGATCTGAGTAGCGGTGGTGACAGCAGCGCGTGCACCCATGACGTGGCTGGGCGTGGGCGTGTTGCTGCGCGGCTGACTCACGGGCTTGGTGGGTCGCAGCGGGGAGAAGCCCAGCGACGCACGGGGGGAGCGCGCAGTGCTCTGCTCGTCCTCGTTCAACCGCCTCACGCGCACCGCAACGGCATGCAGCCTCTTGCTCATCAAAGCACTGTTGGCGCTCTTAAAGCTGCTGCTGCTGGCACTGCGGCTGCTGATGCTACTGCTACCGCTGGTGCTGCTACTGCCATTGATGATGCTGCTGCCGCTGGTGCTGCTGCTGCCGGTGATGATGCTGCTGCCGCTGGTGCTGCTGCTGGCCACGCTAGAGCTGCTGTAGCCGTTTGTTTACGTGCTGCTGGCAGGTGCAGCGCCAAGAGTGAGGGTCACAACAGGCTCACAAAAGGGAACCCCAGGGACGTAAAGCCACGTGTGCTCCTCCTCGCTGTAGTCTTCCCAGAACGCGTGATCAATGGGGCAAAACTTCACCCATCGAGAAGCCCAATGGGCCAGACAGCCAGGTGCAGTCCTCCTCGGAGAAATCCTTCCAGAACTCGTGATCTAGGCCCAAGGACGTCAGCGGCGCATACAGCCACGTGCCATCCGCCTCAGAGAAATCCTTCCAGAATTCGTAATCAATCGAGGGGCTCGTAAACTGGACAGCTGAGGCGTTCCGCGCGGCCATCATACGAGCAAGAGTCTAAGCAACTAGAAATTTCAAGAAGCGAGAACCGGGAGATGAAACCAGGTGATAACTGTCAGAAGCAAGTACGAACTCGAACGGCTGAGAATGAAACTAGAACGGGTGTGGTGGAATGAATGAGAATGACGAGTGTCTTTGTAGTGTTGGGAATGCATGAAAACTCTAAGGGGGAAAGGTGGATGGAGCTTGGGTGGAGAGAAGGAACGGTGGTGGGTAGACGGTGGGAGGCAAGTCTGCTGCCCATAGCGAAAGTAGTTCTTTCCGAGAAAGGCGTGCTCTGTGTTGTGTTTGGAGGAGAAAGAACGGAGGGGTTGAGCAGCCAATGGGAAGCTGTGCGAAAGAAATGCTCCAAGCATAGCCTCGAGGTTCGGCAAAACCGGACGAGATTGTCGCGGCTCCTTCATCTAGGACCAATTCGATTTTGGGCAGCAAAATCTCAGCGTTTCGGCTGCCCAAACTGAATTCGAATCACACTTCCGTCAAGCTCGCCGTTGCTTGAGGATGAATCAGTCATACGTCTGCGGAAGCACGATACTGCTTCTCGTTGACTGAATGTAGGGCTCCTTTGAGTGTGGTCTCTGATCTAAGGCATGCTCGAGGCTGCTATGCCTTCGATTTCGTTCCGTCGGCGTCAACAAACTGCGAAAGCAAACGACCGAGGAAACTACGGAAGCGTCTGAATCGGAAGCCAGCGGATCGCACTGCGGCATGGCGCCTAACAAAGAAAAAACGATCGGACGGTTCTTGGCAGCTGAGGAGATCTCGGAGCTTTTGCAAACAAGTCTCAAGAAACTAGGGTTCCTTCCAAAACGCTCGTCAGTCAGGCAGGTTCCAAGGTCGAGATGAGAAGGAGAAAAACGAATGCATTTATGTGCAGATTCGTTATCAGGCATTACATTTGTTACAAGTTGATTCATTGCGCCAATAATTTAGCAGGATCCCTTTTTGTGAATGTAGAACAGAAAATGACACTGTTTGGAATAACTTACCATATGTTGTTGGGTGTGCAGATAGCAAAGAATCCGACCAATGTGTGGTGCGGCTTGTGAGAAGTTATCGTACTTTTCAGGCATCGATGCTTTTATATTTCCATTTTTTATTACTATTTCCACTAGTACATGAATTTACTATGGATACCAAAAACGAGTCATGAAAACATGAGCATGGAAATGGCTTTATCGCAACGAGAGTATCTATATGAGAAACTGGGAATGGGAGAATATCAACAGGAATAATGAAGTGAAGAGATAAGGATGGAGACACACCATTGCAGGGCTGACGTTTCAAAAAACGCCTCCCTGTTTTTGACCTGCAAAATTTTTTTTTCTACTCTGACGGCACTTCGGCCGCAAAATGGCCACTCTGAGCATGTTAAAAGAAATCAGGGTTGAAAAAAACACAACTCTGGTCCTTCAGTGTTGAGAAAATGACTTCAGAGTCGCGGTTTTTTTTTTTTTTTTTTTTTTTTTCCTTCTGGTTTGTCGGTGAGCTTCAAGGGCGAGAAGGACTGTTGCAACATTGGCTCGATTTGGCGCAACTTTGCAAGTGCCAACTGGGCGACCTGCCACGCAGCTGAGCTGGCACAAAACACAAACCACCACTTGGCACGCGAGAATCTGCCGGTGCCTCCGCAACATAAATTTTCAACCTATGAATCAGGAACAATTTATTTCAAGTGCTGTGGTGCGGAGAAATTTTCGATTTCAGCACCAAAAAGTGCGATACATTACCTGTGGCAAGATATCCTCTCCCACCGATTCGCCGATTTGTTGTGCTATCCGCTAAGACATCACTATTGAGCTTCTTTTTCTAGCCCGCTTCAACGGTTAACCCACTGTGGGACACAATTCAACCTGCGTGATACTGCCACAGATAGCGTGTATTCAGATATCGCAGTAGGTGCTGTGTGCTTTGCTCACGTGTTGGCATTCGCTGCCACCTCGGAGGTGGGTGTATCGAAAGGAAATTTTAAGGAAGCTTCCTCCCGATAAACTCGCATGCAGGGACCACAAAACGCATACTCTGTAGTGACAGACTCCAGAAATGACTAACACTTAGGCCTATTACACTGAATCAGGGGCCATAAAACAATAACTCTGAGGCTCTCAGTGATGAATATTTGACTACTCTGGAATTCCATTTTTCACAAACTCGATGGTCTGATCCGTCAGACTAATCAGACTATTTACTCTGATAGCGTCAGCCCTGCGCCATTGGGAAGTCGAGAGAGCGAAAACGACAACACTGGTGAACCTAAAGCAATCGTTTCATACATGTTCATCGTTTCTCCCCTTCAACACCCCCGAATATCTCCTTACAAGGTGCCCTCCTCTAAACGAATCTCATTCCCTAAGGCCATGCATGGACTGGGATACCCTCATGGCATGGTATGGCTCGCATTGGCATGGTAATGCTCACATTGGCATGGTATGGCTCACGTTGGCATGATATGACTCACATTGGCATGGTATGGCTCACATTGGCATGGTATGGCTATTGGCATGGTATGGCTCACATTGGCATGGTATGGGTTGCGTCACTGCATAGTCAGAGGGGGGTGGCACCCATGGATTGCAACTGGCATGACATGACATGCATCGGTGACACGCTTTGGACAACATCGATGGGCCACGGGAAATGACATAACATGCAGCTGATCTTGCAAGCTCGCATGCATTAGCTGACAATCGCGCACCACCCATGCCGGTGATGGGCAGGGCTGGATGGTAGGAGATGAGAGGAGGGGAGAGGTAGGCCAATGTTGAAAGGATGCTTGATGGTTGAAGGAGGGCGAAGAGTGAGTTGAAGCAGTGGAGCTGAGGCAGCATGTATGTGCTGTGTCATCATCCCATGTGTCACCCTAAACCCTGTCATCACCACACATGCCTGTACTGCCACAGGGCCATACAGCACGTTTTAACACACCTGTGGAAGCACAAGCCAAGGCAACTCACATGCTCACACCTGTGCTGTGCTCATCCCATCTCACACTCCCATCAACTCATCCCATCTCACACTCCCATCCCCTCATACCATCTCACACTCCCATCCCCTCATCCCATCTCACACTCCCATCACCTCATCCCATCTCACACTCCCATCCCCTCATCCCATCTCACACTCCCATAAACTCATCCCATCTCACACTCCCATCACCTCATCCCATCTCACACTCGCATCACCTCATCCCATCCCACACTCCCATCACCTCATCCCATCTCACACTCCCATCACCTCATCCCATCTCACACTCTCATCCCTTCATCCCATCTCACACTCCCATCCCCTCATCCCATCTCACACTCCCATCACCTCATCCCATCCCACACTCCCATCACCTCATCCCATCTCACACTCCCATCACCTCATCCCATCTCACACTCCCATAAACTCATCCCATCTCACACTCCCATACCCTCATCCCATCTCACACTCCCATCCCCTCATCCCATCTCACACTCCCATCCCCTCATCCCATCTCACACTCTCATCCCCTCATCCCATCTCACACTCCCATCACCTCATCCCATCTCACACTCCCATCACCTCATCCCATCTCACACTCCCATCACCTCATCCCATCTCACACTCCCATCCCCTCATCCCATCTCACACTCCCATCAACTCATCCCATCTCACACTCCCATCCCCTCATCCCATCTCACACTCCCATCCCCTCATCCCATGTCACACTCCCATCACCTCATCCCATCTCACACTCCCATCCCCTCATCCCATCTCACACTCCCATCAACTCATCCCATCTCACACTCCCATCCCCTCATCCCATCTCACACTCCCATCCCCTCATCCCATCTCACACTCCCATCAACTCATCCCATCTCACACTCCCATCCCCTCATCCCATCTCACACTCCCATCCCCTCATCCCATCTCACACTCCCATCACCTCATCCCAACGGTGCCTCTCCTCTTCACAAACGCTCTCCTCCTCAGGTCCCTTCACACACTTGAACCCAGAGGGAAAGAGAGTAGCCACATGACCTTCACTCTAGCCAAAGTTGGCAGCCAAGGCCTCCAGGTACTTCCGTTGGTGCACTCGCATGCTCCGCTTCTCCACGTCTCGTTCGATGTGGAGCCCAAGGTAGAAATTTACGTCACCAAGGGACTTGCAGTTGAACTTGTCATGCAGCTTCAGCATCACCTCCTTCACAAGGTCAGAGGAGGGTGAGAATATGAGAATGTCATCCACATAAACCACCACGAAGCTCCTTTGCTCCCCCTCGCCAAGCATGAACAAGGAGTGATCGGTCGTTGAGGGAGTGAAGCCGATCTCCTCCAACACTTCGCGCAGCTTCATGTACCATTGCCTAGGGGCCTGCTTCAGCCCATAGAGGGCCTTCTTCAGCTTCCACACTCTGCCACTACCATCATCAAACCCCTCTGGCTGTGCCATAAAAATCTCCTCCTCAAGGATGCCATTAAGGAATGCCGTTACGATGTCCATTTGTTTTACTACCCATCCTTTGATGGCGGCTCCCGCGAATAGGGTTCGCAACGTCGTCGGCTTCACCACAGGGGCAAACAGCTTCTTGAAGTCCACCTTCTGCTTCTGCTGGTACCCCTTGGCTACAAGCCTAGTCTTGTAGCACTCGATCTTGCCGTCGGCATCCGACTTGATTTTGAAGAGCCACTTGGACGTTATCGCCGTACGCCCCTCCGGTAGCTCCACCAATTCAAACGTGTCATTCTCCTCGATGCTCTTCAACTCACTCTCCATGGCCTTCTTCCACTCCTCAGCATTACTACTCTCCAAAGCCTCCTTGAGAGTTGCTGGTTCTCCCGGCATCTCCACCGGAGAGAAGAACGCGAAGGCACACTCCTCGTAGTCACTCTCCTCGTCGTCTCCGACCATCATTGCTGCTCCGGCCAGGGCTGTCTTGCCCTGCTTTCCCGGCGCATCATAGGTCAGCCTATTAGGGGGTTGAACTCTCCTCTTCCCCCTTCCTTCCTCTTCAGCTGCAGGGATTTGAAGGCCTTGGCGTTGCTGCGGTGTGGCTCGAATCCGTGGAGCACTTGAAGTGCGGGAAGGGAGTGACGGTGCACGCTCACTCACTTGCTGCACCTCCTCCTCTTCTTCCTCTGAATCATTGGCCTCCTCTCCCACATTTACAAGGGAGGACTGCCTCGTGGTTTTGCTGCCACTGCTCAGCTCCAAAGGCAGCTCCACATGCTCCAAACCGGAACTCTTCACCTCCCCAAACCGCACGCCTATCTTCGCCTCATTCTCCGCCTTCCAATCTTTGTACATGAAGTTCTCCATGAACTTGCAGTCCCTGCTCACCAAGAACTTCTTGGTGAATGGGTCCCAAAGAAGCCATCCCTTGCTGTTTTG